TTTTATATAAATTTATATTTTTATATATTCAACTATTAAATAAAATACCTAATAAAACATGTGTTATAACTGCTCTTAATTGGGTTAGTCGAAACCTAAAAACAATAAAAAAAATCATATTTTAAATTTAATTGATTATTCTAAGGTCATTTTTATAGTTTAGGGTTTTTTGTTTTTATATGAAACAATATTTTGTGTATTATTTATTTAATTTTTATATATTATTAAATAAATAAATACATATAATATCATAAATTTTATTAATAAAAAAATTAATTATCAAATGACATAAAATTATATGAATAAAGATTGTTGAAGAAATATTTTAAATAGTTAAAATTTTAAAATTTTATGCAAAAAATTTTAACTTCAAACCTTAAAAGTTATTTTATATTATGTAACTCACCTCCTAATATACGAAAAAAATTATTAAAAAAAAACTGCCTCTCATGCGTTTTCCTTATTCTAATTAACCTTGCTTTTTTTTTAGTATCTTAAATTTGATAGACTTTGTCAGCCACTCAACTGACCGAAACAAATAACTCATCGCAGGAAATATAATAAGTTCCATAGCCATCTTCAAATCATCTAAGCGTTAATTAGTTAGTCAATCAATTAAGTTGAAAGACTTTGCATTCACATGCACCAAAACAATTATTAAAGCTATTTTAACTTCAGTTCAAATATATATATATAAGCTAATGGTTGTTACCTCCGTACACTTTTTTTTTTAAATGTCAGTTTTTGTTTTTAGACTCCTAATTTTAAAGTTTAGTTTATCTAATTTATATCATTTAAAAATATAATAAATACATATTTTTATCAACTATTCTATATTAAAGTTGATAGATATTAACTTAAATTTGACTGATGAAATCATTAAACATCATAATTCCATCTCTTTCGTTAGGTCCGCGTTAACATTTCATTTCGTCCATTCCATCTCGATAGCGTCTTAGTGACCCTGAACAATCATTAGCCCATCCTGTTTTTATGACTTGAAAAAAAAAAATTATTTTACATGCTGAAAAAGAAAAAAAAAAAAACTATATTAAAGTGAAAGTGTTCTCTGTGAAGGCGATAGCAATTCTATCGCAAAAAATTGATTAGAGAATGGGCCACGATTATCCAATCAACAAGAAGTTGACGAATGGAATGTTTACAGAGAAACGGAATTATGATTGTCTGATGACATAATTAGTTAAATTTAAGTTATTTTATTTCAACATAAATATGAAAAAGGTGAATTTTATTCAATTTAAAAATAAGATTCATTTATTAAAAATTAAAAGGCAAAAGATTTTATTTCAATAATAAACAAAAGTAGGGGGCGAATGCCTCTTCGCCACCAAACCACAAAAATCTTTTTCTTTTTAATTTTTTGGCCATCAAAATATGCACTAGATTTGTTTATTTCAATATATTAAAGATTTAGATCACCAAAGACAGACAATGATAACGGAGAGCATGCAATTCAGAGGAATTCAGCTGGATCATTCATTCATTCCACCGCCAGAATGCTAGGATTTGGGGAAGCAAATGCGAGGAATTCAGGATTATTCTCCAGAACACTCATTTTCTCTTCCTCTAAAGTAATCCAAGCTTCGACTGCACTGTTCTTTCCCAGTTCCTTGAAAACGGTGATACTACAGAATGGAGAATGAACTTCACCTAAAAACCCAACCCATATTGGCTTCCCCCACCCAAAATCAATTTCATTTAAACCCAAATTCAACCAATTGGTGAAACCATATACTTCTGCACCTGTCTCCGATACAAGTTCTCCAACCCTCTTCTGCTCCTTTTAAATAACTTCAATACGCTTGCTTTGAAGACTTTCAGGAAAATCATGCTTGAAACATACTAAGTTTTCTCTTTGCAAACGAACGAAGGTAATTCCATCTCTTTCTCAGTTGAATTATGGGTACAAGCTGTCAGCCAACTTAGATTCCCGAGGGAATTATCTGGTAATGGTGGGTTTAGCATCTTCCTCAAATTTACAGGTTTTAAGGACAGAGTTGGTCTTGAAATTCCATCTGTGTTGATTGCGGGCATTCCACTAAGCTTATTTGCATGGTTGCAGTTTCCTCTACTTCTTCAGATTTTTGTTTTGACAAACAGATCATCAATTTTCAGTGAGAAAAGATCCTTGGCAGGCAGAATAAAAGCATTCTGCTTTGGGAAAAAGAAGATTGAGTAGGTCTAGATGAGTCTTTGTTTTATGTTTGTCTTTGTTGCTACTCCTACTGCAGCAACTCTTAAGGTCACTCTGTCATGCTTGAGTAGGTCCAGATGAGTCTTTGTTTTTAATTATCTATGTTTTATGGTTAATTGTAAGTGAACTTTAATTTTATGTTCACTTTGTTATGCAACAGAATTCTTCTGGTCTCTATAATTTTTCTGAGTTCATATTTAAGAAAATTGCTATTTGATATGGGGTGCATACATATAATGCCTTTTTTTCTTTTTTCTTTTTTCTTTTTTTCCCTGAAGTTCGTGGTGCTTAGCTTTTGATCTTTAAACGTCAGTCTTGCAAAACAAGCAAATGAAGATGCGATAGAAACCGCAGTCAGGGATGTTGAAGAAAAAGCTTGGCATTTAGAAAAATGATGGAACAAACAAAAGCACTGAAGAAAGATGGTTCAGAGAAATGGTGGCAGAGTTAAGTATCCCTTACTGAAAGGACTACATTCCAAAATTCTGGAGATCAAATAAATAGATGAGAAGCATTTCAAAGACAAAACATCTGGTCTGGTCTACTACAATTTCAGAAACAAAACCAAAATTCTCTAACAATTAGTCACCTTCTCCGATCATTTGCTACCATGATTATTTAAGCACGCACCCCATGGTTAAGATTGACCATGTGGCTTGAAGCATCCATCTAGGAACCTTTAACCGGAGAAGCAATCCTCCTGAAATATCTACCTGCTTCTCGCGACTGATTGGACCAATAGTCCCCTCCAGCAACTTGACCAAAAGCCACTGTTCTTGCACCACCAGCACCATATCCTAGACGCCCTCTTCTACCTTGCTTCCCCTGAGGGAAATACATGTACTTGCCACCTACCACCAGTAGAAGCTATAGCAGCTGCATAATCCTGGTTTTCTCCCGCCTGATGGGTAGATTTAATCCTCCACCACCGCCAATCCTTGCCTTTACTGCCCTCTCGTTACTTTTAACAAGAACTAAAAGCTTCTCAGTCAATTGGAATGCCAACACTTGTAGCCTTGTTTGCTCAACATCGTGGAAGACATTGGCTGGTCCCAACTTGCATGCAATCCTTCATTAATCATCATCTTGCTAACAGTTTCAACCTCATCTTCATAATCACTTTCCTCCTCCTCACTGTCACTATCACGCTGTTAACAAGAGATTAAACATTACTCACAAGAAATGTGTAGAAGATCAATGTGGCCCCAAAACCTTTTCCACAATCTAAGAAGGAACAAAAAATAAAAAAAGATTACTAGGTTGACAAAGATAGATTTCCAACCTGAGTCTAAAATCTTGATTCTATATTTCTATCTAAGATAAAATAATTAAACACAAAGATAAATTCTACAAAATAAGAAACAAAATTTAATCAGTTCTTTTTTTTAGTGACTCAATACCTAAAACATAATAATTTTGAGATAAAAATAATATAAAATTCACAAAATTTTCACAAAATCCTAGAGCGGTAATGGGTTTCAATCAAAGAATAGAATTCAGATAATAATATATCAAATTACATGATTACTCAGAACTCCAAAATCCAAAGATAGACTCAAAACCATAGAAAACAGGAAAAGTTACAATCGAAAACCGATTTTAATAAAAATAGCATCAATTCCACCCATAATCTTCCCTCTCCAACTAGAATTCTACGATCGAAGGCAGAGGTGCACTTAGCATGTTCCAAGGCACCCTAACCTTTAGAAAAAAAGGGGCTTTCGTTCATTCAAATTAAATATTAAGGATGGCTTTCGATGCGTGTTGGAGGTTAGTGCGGGGAATAGCAATGGTCGGTATCGGATCAGACCCAGCAGCACCCGTTCGTGTAGAGGCCTTGTACAATTCACTTCACTGTTGTCATTGATATTGAGTCATTGACTCATTTAATCTCATAACTACGGTGAACCAGATCTCAATGTGTGCAAAACATGCCATTTAAAAGAAAAATTTTCTTATGAACGTGCCAATGAAAGTCACTAACATTTAAACTAGCTGAAAAGTAAGTACCTTACTGGACAGCAAAATTTCTCTACTGAAATCAGTCACTTAGAACTTATAAGGGTTTTCGTTGAAATTTGAGAAGAAAACTACTTTTAGAATTAATGCCATACATCTAGCATCAATCGGTCATACTCAGCATGTAACAAACAGAAAGATACTGAATTTCTCCATCAACCTCAGAAAATATAAAACTCTACTTCACAAATTAAATAAATTAAATGATAATTCCCTCTCAATAAAATTAAAAAGTCTTAAATTCAAATTATATAGTGCAAATTTAACCAAATTTAAATATTTAACTTATAATTATAAATCATACCTATTTATCATTTTTAATTTTCGTTCAATACTAAAGTTTAATTACTTTAAATCAAACACAACCTAATATATTTTTTTTCGTCTTAACCTAATTTTTTTTAAAAATTTATTTTAAAATCATAAAGTAAAAATAGTTAAATTAATGTTGTAATAAAGATTGCGGAGGCAGAAGATCCTTGCCAAAATTTTCCCCCATAAAAAATCCTCACAGAGATCACTGCCTTCGCAATTTGCAAGAACGGGAATACCCCCAACCTCATGGGTGCAGTTGCCGTCCCTGATTTTGTTTGGAAACACATTTTTAGTTAGTAAGAATCACTTTCCCCTTGTTTAATTCCCCTTTTTATTTTATTTTATTTTTTTTATCGACACCACTTTCCTTGTCCTTAAAATAATATAAGTTAAATATTAATTTTAATTTCTCAACTTTTGAGGTTTTGCATAATTTTTGCTTTCTAATTTTTTTTATTATTTTATCCTTTAATTTTAAAAAATACATTTTTTTTATCCTTTTATTGGTTATTCTATTAAATCTATCCAAAAATACACAATTTTTGGAAGATCTACTTTAAATTTATATTTTAATTAATATTTTAAAAAACAACCGTTAAATTAAAAATTTTATTAATATAGATCATATATGTCAATTTTTCAATTGTTGTAGTAGGGTTAACTACTTCATTGATTACACAAAGTTTAACGTCGTTAAATATATATTAATAAATAAAATTTTTTTTATCAAAGAATTATAAGTGTTTAATTGAAGTAGAGAATTTCTTGGACTCTTTTTTTTTTAAAAAAAAAAATTTTATATTTACTAACAAAGAAAGATAAGAGGTCTTGATTTTCCATTTTTCTGCTTTATCATCTTTATTTTGATTAGCAGTATTAAATTTATAATAGTTGAAAAAAAATTATTGATTAAAAATAGAAAAATGATGCAAGGACAATTTTTATATAATATAATTTTAGATGTTATTTAATTATTAACTTTTTTTTATTCTATTAAAACTTATAATATTGTATGTATGTGTCTACTAATTTAATGACATTTAAAAGTTATACTTTATTTGTTCAACTTGAGTGGATCTAATTTAATTTCTAATTTAAAACGTTCAAATTTAGTTTCAATTTTTCTTTTTAGATATTATTTAATGTACTTATTCTTATTTTAATTTTTTTTAAATAATTACAATATAAATTAAATAAAAACTTATTTAAGTAATGAAAATTTAAGTAAAAATACTCAACAAGCTACAGATAAAAAAAACTCAATTATCATTTATTTATTATCATCTAATTAAATTTTATATAAAAATCAAATTGAAACAACTAAATTTGATTGGATGGAATAATTAATTAAAATTAATCACGCTGATTAATTATTACAAATTAAAAAATGCGGTTTGGTGGGCTTTAGGCCCAGCCCATTTATTCCCCCCCATTCTTTTTCTTAATGGCCCAAAGCAAACAAAATGGCCCGCCCAAACGAAAAGGAAAGAGACAGAAGGATAATAAAATTCCGGCGACATTCCCAGAATTGAGATTTGATTCTAACATTCGAAGGTGCCATGAGTTTGTTGGGCCAAAAGTGGGCTTCAAAGTTAGGGGATATGTAGCCCAGTTGGGGGAATGGGCCTTAGTGTCTAGTCCAGATTACCAAGGTTGGCCTCG